GTATTTTTTAAAAACAAAAAACTAGAAAAAGAAAAGAAGAAAAAAGGAGAAATATAAAATGTTGATGTTGCTTCCTTTTAAAATGAAGAACAGAGAATATAAATTAAACCACTTTGTTTTTCTATTTCAGTAGAGACGGGGTCTTGCTCTTGCTCAGGCTGGTCTTGAACTCCTGACCTCTAGTGATCCTCCTGCCTCAGCTTCCCAGAGTGCTAAGATTACAGGCGTGAGCCACTGCACCCCGCCTAAATTAGACCACTTCGAAACATTACCTTCCTATAAATGTTTCAAAGAGGCAGAGGTAAAAACAGGGACATAAGGGAGCCAGGAGGCTAAGAGGAGATAAGCTAAAAGGAAATGGGAGAGTAAGAGACACAAAAATGAGGGAGAGACAAAGATAGAGGGTGAGAATAAACTATGAGTAGTGTAGGCAGAGAAAAGGGGTAAAGAAAAAATAAAAATAAGCTGTGGGGTGGTAAGACAAAATGGCTAAGAGAAAGATACACAGAAGAAGAACTAGAGGGAAAGAGATGAAGAGGCAGGCAGAGGGTTAGGGAGAGACCTAGTAGATTTAGTGGTATTAGTTAGAGGCCACCCCCAGATTTGGGGGGGAAGGGGTATGGAGGAGGAAGGCTGTCCCTTGTATAGCACTTACTGCCTACTGCCCTTTGCTAAGTTAATCAGCCAGTTAACTTTGTCTTCAGGTCTTCCATTGCTCGAAACCTCAAGTGGTTAGTGGTTCTGCTCAAAGAAAATGACTAAAACAACTCATCAAGGGAGATTTTCCCAAATTATTCTTCTTAGAACACTAGTTATCACAGATTTTCATATTTTAAAAATAGCCCTTAAAATAAATCAGGGAAATATTAGTTTAATCAAAGTTAAACAGGTTTCTTTGCTGCAATTACTTCTTAGAGCCTCCGATATGAATTTTTAAGAGAGTGCTATATGGAATACCGGCATTTCCAAACTTATTTGATCACAGAATGTATCTTTTAGAAAGAATCACAAGGGACGAATGTTCTGCAGAGCACACCTTGAGAGCACTGCACGAGGAGAATACTATTCTCTGAGCTTTACAATCAGTGGCCATAACTCTAACACTCTGAAGGCCAGACAATGTGAAATCAAAGGCAAAATCTGTCTTGAAACCCACAGGTTTCCTATTCCTATAGGCAATATTGTTATTTCTTTATCTCACTTTATGTTCATATTACTTTAAATGCTTTTTATGGCAAAAGTTCAAAATTTATATTCTCATATTTAATGTTCTCCATACTTCTATTGCCTTTCCAATATATATATTCTTATTAACACTGTATTAAACAGTATTACTGCTTCCCTTACTACTAAACTTCTTCCACTATGATGATTAAAAATTATAAAAAATAGTGATTACTAGTTTACCCCTAACACACACAATGCCAAATTCATCTTCCCTACCTCCCAGGCACATGATGGCCTAGTCAAAGTGTGGCCTTGTAACTAAGTTCTCCTCAATGAATTGAGAGCTGAAGGGATCTGTACCACGTTGGCCTCATTTGCTTGAAAAAACCATTGTGTGGTTTAAAGGATTCTCTTTCCCCTTTCCCTGAGCTGACACACAAGGTGCTTGCAACCTAGCTTTGTCCACACAGATGATGATAATGTCCTAGGAATGGCAGAAGACTGAGAGAAGGTACCTGAATGATGGCCTGGAGCAAAACCACTCCACCAACTTGGACAACTCACCTTGAGACTATTACACAGGAAAGAAACAGACTTCGTCTTCTTCTTCTTCTTTTTTTTTTTTTTTTTTAAGACTGAGTCCTGCTATGTTGCCTAGACTGGATTTAAACTCTTCAGCTCAAGTGATCCTCCGGCCTTTGCCTCCCAAGTAGCTGGGACAACAGGCGTGCGCCATCCTAACTGGTGAGAGAAATAAACTTCTATCTTTAATGAAGGCACTGTAATTCTTAGTTTCCTTAATATAGAAATTTAACATTTATCCTCACCAAAACATGGTGTTAATAATAAAAACTTAACATTTTAGTATTATATTAGGTTAGTTATGCTCACATATACATTATATTTCTAAACCTTTTTCACTTTGATTTTGTTCCTTTTATTTTAGCAAGTAGTTATCCTCTACTAGCATGTTAATCTGAACATTGAAAACTAAGGCTGTGGCTCAAGCCTGTAATCCTAGCACTCTTGGAGGCTGAGGTAGGAGGCTCACTTGAGGTCAAGAGTTCAAGACCAGCCTGAGCAAGAGAAAGACCCGGTCTGTACTAAAAATAGAAAAATTAGCCAGGCATGGAACTGTGCGCCTATAGTCCCAGCTACTCGGGAAGCTGAGGCAAGAAGATCGCTTGAGTCCAGGAGTTTGAGGTTGCAGTGAGCTACAATGATGCCACCGCACTCTAGCCAGGCAACAGAATGAGACTCTGTCTCAAAAACAAAACAACAACAAAAAAAACTAAGGCTAATCATGATCATAATTATCAGTCCACTATTTTATTGTTCTGTAACATATTTGTTTATGCTTTCAAGCTACCCCACCAGCTGTCTAAAGTAGGTTGCTTTTTGTTGGTTTATATCTAGTCACCAATAAACCTCCAAACATAACATTTCCTATAAATTCCTCATGGTGTGATTATGACTAATGATAGGAATGTATCTTCACGAACTAAAGTACCTTTCTATGAAATATAATGAGCAAGGATATCTATTATTCAAAATGAGTATCTGCATTTTCTTGAAGATAGATACAGAATGATTTAACAGTAATTGTTTTAAATGCTATTTTATGGTGAAACATTCTAGTAAATGAGAGAAAAGCAAGTATTTGGAGGTAGCTACTGAAATATGTATATACTTATGAATATAACTTTGGTAAAGAGCCAAACAAAATAAAGTATGACTCATTGTCAATAAACATTCCCTAAATGTCCTTGCATTATTATGGGAGAGTTACTGTCTGGTTTTAATAATGTATATAAAATGAACTACTATTTACATTCTTCTTAAAGGCATTAAAAAACAATCATCTATTTAGCAGAAAGGTCTTTAAAGTCTACCAAGCTAATCACTCTTTAATTTCTTGTCAATAAATTGAGGAGCTACTTTTAAGGAAATAATTAGACACAATAAGATTTTACTACCTATATTTCTTGTGTTAATAGTTGCAATTCGCAGTAGTTGGTGGAAGTTTAAGGCATAAAGAACAATTTTATTGTATTTACTTTAGAGGGTGGAACAAGAGCTATTAGTAAATGCTTTTTTCTGACCCCAAAATATTTCAAAGTTCACCTCTGATTGCGATCACAAGTGAAGGAATTTACAATCAACCTTAGAATGGTAAAACTGGAAAGAATCTTAGCGCTCATGACCCCTTAATTTTATAGATAAGGAATCGGAAGTTTGAAAAATTATTTTAATTAAAGGAGGCTTCTTGAAAAGGAACATTTCTTTATGGAATTCTAAGTATTGCATAATATAAATCAAATCAATAACCTTTAATACCTCTCTGAAGGGCTGGCCTTATCCTTCCACTTCCTACAGAGGAAAACTAAGGTATAAGCAAGCGAAGCAGTTCACTTATTATCTCTATGAATCAGTGTCATAGCTGGGAACGGAAGCCAAAACTTTTAACGTTGGACCATTCTCACAGATGTAGGCTGATCTCATTTGGAATGGATGCCGGCTGGGGGCGAGGGGAAGCCATGTTTGGGAAGTCCCCTCATGGAGTACTGCATTTCACAAGCACAGTAATCGCTGACAAATGCAAAATGCATGCTTAAATGAGTTCCAATTGATAACGCAATCTTTAGGAAACAAAACACCGTAATACATCAGTTTTACTACCTTCCTCTAAAATGAAGTGTCCTTGAATCCTAGAAATTTAAAATGTGCTTTAAATCTGGTTCCATCTCAAATATTCAAGAAAGGCATATAACTTTGTTTACTTTTATTTACATGAGTCGCCTTTGTGAAACCCTTCACGTCCCCAGTGAACATCTGGAATGAGACTATTTATTTGGATCCCTCCTTCTCTATTTAGAAATGTTATTTTCTGTTCTATTATCACCCTGGAACGTTAATTATCGATCATAAGCAAAATAAAAGTTCCTGGAAAATCTCAATATATATCTTTTTCCCACCAAACCACCAATGATGACAAACTTCTAAAGACAACTCGATCCTTAAAAAACACACACACATATACACAAACACCCCCAGCTGTGCCTGTGTTCCTGCTAGTGCATCTAGTTGCCCTGCAAGACCCATTCCCACGGGTCATGACCCAGTATTTCTGATGACCACATTCGGTGCTGTGAGGTGTTCAAACCATTACCGCATCCATCTCCCTGTGAACCATGCCCAGTGAGCTCATGCAGTAACCTGGGCTGAAGCGCTGTTTGCTGTGAAGCTAAAGGATCAATTACGAATCTGGGATCCCTACTTGGCAGTTCTCCCGGGGCGATGGCGGGGGAACTGCTCTCTTAGGGCAGGAAAAGGGGTGCTTGGAGGGTGGTCGGGTCAGGGTGTGCGCGGCTATCAGGGAAGACGAGTTTGCGGAGAAGGCAGCGGCGGGGGGGCCCGAAGGGGATCAAAACACTGGGAGGGGCAGAAAGAGTTGGGGAAGAGGGTGGGTGGCAACGGCGACCCTGGTCCAGGCGGGAAAGGAAAGACGGAAAAGGGGAGCAGGAAATGGGCGCCAAAGAAAGAAGTGAGAAATTGCGGAGGAGGAAGTCGTCCCTGGAAGAGGAGGGGCAAAGGGGAAACGAGAATGGAGTGTTTGCACTTTCGAAAGGGAAGGGCTGGAGCCTCCCCCGCCCGGGGCCGGTAGGGGAGGCGCTGGGGAAGCGGCGTCTGGCGAGCGGAGGGGGCGGCGCGGCCCCCCGGGTCCTGGCGCGGCGGCCGTACCTGAATCGCTCCTGGCCCGCCGTGTCCCAGAGCTGCAGCTTGATCCTCTTGCCGGGCTCGATCTCCAGCAGGCGGGAGAAGAAGTCCACGCCGACGGTGGGGTCGCAGGCGGGGGAGCGCAGCCCGGGGAAGCGGCCCTGGGTGAAGCGGTGCAGGAGGCACGACTTGCCCACGGTAGAGTCCCCGATCACGATGAGGCGGAACTGGTAGATCCAGATGGTCTCCATCGCTCACGTGCCCCGCTAGCTCCCGGGCCGCCCCACCCGCCGGGTAAGTTCGGCGGCGGGAACTGTCCCTTCAGCACCTCGCGGGCGCCCGCCCGCCGGCTTCCAGCATATTCCTGCGGCTGCGGCCGCCGCCTGGTCCCCGCCCTCTCGGGAGGGGGAGGCGGGGCCCGGCCCAGCTGGGGGCGGGGCCTCGGGCCGGGGGCGGGGCGCGGTGCCGGGGAGGGGGAGACAGGCTTGCTGGGCGCGAACTCCCGCCCCTGACCCTCTGCAAATCACTCTCCCTCAATGCTCACTGGGCGCCGGCGGGAAAGTGGGTGCGGCGAAAGGACGTGACAGCAGCAACAACCAATGAAAATAAAACAAGGCCTCAACTCCTAGAGGGTCAGCCAATGAAAAGTGAGAGCCGTTTTCTTACAGGCATCTGGGAAGGCTCGTCATACTGGGGCTCAGGTTTTGGAAGTCTCTCAGGCTGTAGTTTAGGTCGCTGCTGTTGCTTCTTCTTTGATCGACTGTTTTACTTCCTAGTTTTCTGAAGATTCCCCTGGCAGTTTCTTGCTTTCTAATCTCGCTGAGCGCCACCTTCAAGGCGTTCTAAGGTGAAAGAATTGAGAACAGGATCACAATAAATTTGCACAACTAGTTCTGGGTGCTTCTGGCACGCTCTGGCCGGTGCCCTTTGCCACCATTGTCTCTTCTTCACTGCTCTGAGTACCATAGAAGGATGAGAAAAACACCAAGTATCATCTCCATACCCTCAGGAGCCCTCCAGCCCTGGGAAGGAGGGGAGGAAAAAAGTGAGATGTTGAGATGCTCATGAAAGCTGCTCTTCTTGGTCTCCATTCTGTAAGTCGGAAAAAGTGAACAGGTGGTGTCTACTTATGTCTGGTCAAATGATCTAAATAAACAAAGCGGGACTTAAATCCTGGTGTCTCATGCCTTTCCACAAATTGAGTAATAGTGAATTCAAGATTGATTTTTAAAAAGTTAAATCAAAGTTTATCAACAGTTTTAAAGTGTATGTTTATGAAAATAAAATTTTCAACAATTCCGCTCTTTCTTTCTTTTTTGGGGAGGGCGGGGGGACAGGATCTCTCTATGTTGCCCAGGCTGAACTCGGCTCAAGGGATCCTCCTAAGTAGGTGGGACTACAGGTGCACACCACCTCGCAGCCTTGAATTCCACTCTTTTCTTGCGCACAGCCAAACTTCTGCCATCGTTATTCATCCTTTCTTTCTTGTTTTAGAAGAAGAGGCGTTGCTTTCAAGGATGTGTTTAATCCCCTGCTCCTTGTCTTCTTGGGGCTTTTCCCAATAGTTAACCTTTATTTCATACCTTTTATACCTTAGATCTCTCCCTCTCCAATTGTTTCTACCCCTCAGACTATAAACATGCTCAAGTATCCACAACCCTAAAACGAAGCAAAACACCTCTCCATTATGCTTCCACTTCAGATTGTTGCCTCCTCCATCATTCTCCTTTTCAAATATCAGAAATGAACAATCTATTTTCGTTTCTCACCTACTAGTCTTCAACAAGCCTAATATACCCCTAATATACTCTCTATGCCTAGTATACGTCTGAAATAATGGCTTTTGATAAGGTTGCCAGGGACTTTCTAATTATCAAATCCAACCCCTCACCCCCACCATCCTCACTGCCCACCCCACTGCTGTCTATCTTTAGTTATCATTCTCCTTAATTTCCTAACACCCTTCCAGTTAGGGATGGCCAAGTGACAGAGTTCTGACCCATGAGAATAAGTAGGGCTTCTGGTAAAGCTTTTGTTTTTCTGTAAGGGACTGGCACCCCTACTGCGCTTCACCGCTTCTTCTTTCCTTTTGCTTCCCACCTGGAAGGTGTAACAACCATCTTGTGACTAGATGCTAAGGATGGTGATAGGAGAGCAAGGAAGAGCCTGGCTCCCTGACGGCCTTGTTGATCTGTTGTGCCAGCTCTGGGCAGCTTGTTGTTTGAGATGAATAAATCAATGCCTGTTTAAGCTCCTGGTGGCTGGATTTTCTGTAAGTACAACTGCAACACTCTTACTCCTCACAGTTCTAAGGGTAGAAGTCCAAAATCACAGTGTTAACAGGGTTGGTTCTTTCTGAAGGCTGTGAAGGAGAATCTGATCCATGCCCCTCACCTAGCTTCTGCTGGTTTCTTGGCAATCTTTGGCTTGTAGATGTATCACTCAATCTGCCACCTCCAATTGGCATTTTCCCTGTGTCTTTTCACACAGCCTTCCCTCTGTGCATGTCTGTGCCTGTATCCAAATTTCACCTTCCTATAAGGACACCAGTTATATTGTATTAGGGCCCACCCTAATGATATTATTTTAATTTGACTACATCTGTAAAGATTCTGTTTCCAAATTAGGTCACATTCTAAGGTATTGGGAGTTAAGACTTCAACATATTTTCTCTAGGGGACTCAATCCATAACAGCCTCCCATTTAGTTTTTATGTTGCTCCCAGAATTACTTTATTAAACATCTTTGATGACTCCTCATTCACTGTAGGATAAAGTCTAAATACCTAATCATGTCACATATAAATTGATCATAATATGGCATCAAGATCTAGTCAGGTGATTCCTTTACGTGACATGCTTTTCTTTTTCTTTTTTTTTTTTTTCCATGCTGTTCCCTCTTCTCCTTATATCCCTTTCACTCTTCATCTGGTCTGTAAATTTCTATTTATCTTTCAAGGCCCAGAACAAATATTACTTCCCCTTTTTAGTTTTTCTGAACCACCTATACCCCTAAGGAGAATTGATTTCTCCCTTCTCTGTGTTCCTACAGAAGTTAAGCAGAGTCCTCTGTACTTTTATCTCTTACATCTTCTATTAATATAATATATCTCCTATTGAATTGTAACTATTGGTTTGACTCTCTCTCCTGTTAGAATGTAAGTTTCTCAAGGCTACAGGGACTTATTAATTCACTGTTATTTTCCCAGCACACACAATTAGCACGTAGTGGATATTCTATTTAAATGCTCATTGAGTTGAAATGAATTATGTTTACCATAATTCTGTTTTAACTTGAACTTTTATATATGTGCAGTGTGCATACAACCTCATGAGCTTCACGATGAACTAAAATTTGATTAATTTTATGATTACTAAAATTTGCCTTTGAATAATCCATGAATAACTTTAATTTTATTTGTATTATGCATGCTGAGTATAAATAATTTAATGTCTTAATTAAAATGTTATGTTTGTGTTTATGAAAGCTTAAGCTTAGAAAATAAGGCAAGTAGGTAGGGCACATTTAAGCTAGAAGAAGGAAAGCTATTTAAGCTATTATTCAGGAAATTCTGTTTTAATTTTTTTTTTTTTTTACAAGAAAGCAAAAATATGGGAAGTGCTGGAAAGGAGGATCTGGCTTCTTTTTGCTCTGGTCTCACTAATGCCACTGACTTTGGGGGGCTTTTGACAACTCCCTTACTCTCCCTGGGTCTCTGTTTCCTCATCTGGACACTGAAAGGGTTGAGCCACAACTGAAAGGGTTGAGTGTCTTTCAAAATGAGGGTTATAAAATCAATTTGGTGTGTCACTACCAGAATTCAAAGCAAAACATCAGGGTACACATACATCATAATAAAGATATTTATTTCATAAAATTTTGTTTCAGTGATATGTGTATATGTGTGAATGTGTGTGTATGTATGTACACATGTGTATACCAGGTCAAGATATGAAATTTATTTCTTTTGGATCAAAATAAAAAATGTCAAAATCCAGTGAGCAAGATGATATATAATGCATCTTATGGTTCTGAGATTCTCTTAAAACGCTTAGAAATCCTCAATGTGTTCTTTATGATTGCTTTGTTAAACACTAAGAAGTGCTTTATATGCTCAATGTAGGTGCTATGATTTACAAGTGAGAAAACATTTTTTAAAAATCTGCTCCTCTGTGTCTTCATCACCTAGTAAAGGAAACATCATTCTTCTAGTTGCTTGGGCCAATAATCTCAGCCTAACTGTGCTCTTCTTCATTCCCCCATAAATATTCCATCAGCGAATTCTGTAGACTGTATATTCAAAGTATATCCAGATTCTAACCATTTCTCACTACCTCCACCTCTGCTACCATGATCCAAGCTATCATCATCTCTAGTCTGGTTTATTGTAGTGGTCTCTAACTAGGTCTTGCCCTGTTATTACCACTGCTATTTGCAACCTAGCAGCTAGAATGACCCTCTAAAAAGATAAATCAGATCACATTCTTTGCTTAAGAGTCTCTAATGGCTTCTTATCTTACAGCAAAAGCCAAAGTCCTTGATCTCTCATACCTCTTGGGTCTCATCTTCTACCCTCCCCGGAATGTCTCCACAACAACCATACTGGCTTCTTTGACGGTCCTCAAACATGCTAGGTAGGCGGCCACCTCCGTGCCTTTGCACTTGCTCTTCCCTCTGGAACAGCTCTTCCCCTTTCATCTTTTCATGGCTCCCTCATGCCATTTGGTCTTTTTTTTTTTTTTATGTAAATTTGTCTTGTGGAATTTTTTTTTTTTAATATGCATGTGGGGTTTTTTTTGGTTTTGTTTTTTGTTTTTGAGATAGTATCTCTGTCTGTTGCCCAGGCTAGAATGTAGTGGTGTCATTATAGCTCACTGCCGCCTCAAACTCCTGGGCTCAAGTGATCCTCTTGCCTCAGCCTCCCAAGTAGCTGGGACTATAGGTGCTAATTTTTTTTGTAGAGACAGGATCTGGCTCTTGCTCAGGCTGGTCTTGGACTCCTGGCCTCAAGTGATCCTCCCGCCTCAGCTTCCTAAAGTGCCAGGATTACAGGTGTGAGCCACCTGTGCCCAGCCTTCAGTCTTCACTCAAATATCTCCATGAAGCCTTCAGTTCCTACTCTATGTAAAATTGCACCCCCCCATTCCCTTCTCTGCTTTATTTTTCTTCTTAGCACTTATTACCATATAACATGATATGTATTTTACTTATTAACACATTAACTGCTATGTGAATTGTATTTAACTCACGCTAGTTTTGAGCCCAGGACCTGGTGAAGCAAAACCCTGCAGTTGGTTTGGTGAAAATCTTACTTGTT